AGTTCCTCCTGATAGTTTAATTTGTAAAAATATTTTAAGAATTCATTGAGGTCAATGAATATGTTGGAAATTTAAATTTAGATATGTGATGTTGGTTTAAAAAAAAGGGATGGGGTGAGGGCTTCCGTAACCAGGGCCTTTGGGAGCTTGGGTTAACTTGAAAACAAGATGCCCTTCTAGCTCAGTGGATTTTAGGGAAATTCATTATGGTCATGCTATAAATGGTTTTCTTCAAGGGATTCAGGGGATGAATCTCCCTCTAGCTCCAAAATATATGGCAGAATGCCTTTAGGATAGCTGTGGGAAAGCGGTTGCAGCAAAGCCACAGTCTAAATAAAGTGCTGAGTAAAATTCTCATAAGCTGTTAAAACTGTCCCATGCCGTATAAACTGCTATAATTTTATAAAGAATTAATAAAAATATATTTTTGATGAATTGATTGTTTGAAACATTAATTGTTACTGGGAGGGCTTGTTGGGGCTGCCAGTCACCCTCATGTGGACCTCTTGTCTGTTCTTTCTGGCTGGACAAGGTGTCTTTGGGATGAGTCCAGTTGGCTACAGACTACTAGGGAAGCTTTCTGGTTTCCCTGGTAGCCACAGTTTCCCTAGCCAGATGGGAAACAGTTCAAGGTCTTCTGGACTTATTCAAAGGCAGTTTGTCCCGATTGGATGTTATCCCAAAACTGTCAGAGGTCACCCAGGAAAGTAAAAAAATATGTACTCATGAAGAGCCAGGATAAAAATAACCCATCAATTTTGAATAGTCACTTAGCTGAACCATGGCTCACCTGAGACCATTGATTTTTTTCTAATTGTCCCAAAGTTTACTATAGACACAATGTATTTATATTCCAGTGTTAACCAAGGTATGTAATTCAAGAAAATGGCTTTCTAGATTTAAAAAAAACAAAAAACCAGACAATCCATGAAGGAAAGATGGTAAACAAGTTAATTGAGAAGAACAACATGCCAGTTTCACAGAATAGGACAGTGGCTTTGCCCCCAGGCTGGGTGTCTGTTTAGTGTTAGCCAGCTCCATGCACACAGTGATTTTCATCTGGGCAATTCATTTTACTGTCCAGATTCTCCCCTCCCTAGAATTCCTCTTTGTCTCTATCATCTGCTATCATTTGATATTTTTATTGATGCTCATTCTATTGATCTGAGTCACTCCACAGTAGTTTGCTTGATGTTAAATATTGTTGTGCCCAACTGCTATGCTAGTGGAGCTAAGAAATACATTCTATGAACACAGAAATGTATGATCTAATTGTGTCCCAGCAAACCAGGCTGCTTAGCATTGCTCTTATGGTAGTCCTTTGATTGAACTATAAAGCGTAAGAGGTGCCTGTATAGGTTAGATATAGTTTGGGTTTTCCCCTTGGGTATTTCATTAATTGGGATCAGCAGATATGAGGGTTGATAATAAAATACTTTATTCTGATTTGCTCATAAAGGGGATGGATGAGTAAGACGACTATCTCAATATCTTTTCACTGAGTGCTTGGAAAGCATTTATTATAGGTGAGTCATTTGTCCTTCACCCATCTAAGGCATACCATAGGTCCTTTTATTCCAAGAGAGAAGTGCTAAGACACAGAATTAATATTATACTGTTGTAATTAACTAATTATTAATAACAGGATAGGAGCAAAGGGAAGGCCAGACATTATGGACGTGTTCCCTGTAAAACACTGGGGGAGGGAACCACATAGGGAAGATACTGGCCTGTCAGTCACGCCTGGTAAATAAAGTGGTGCCCTCAGGCAGAACTTGGCAACCCCAGTGTTGTAGATAAGTTTAGACTTTCCAGAAAAGGAATGCGCTACAGATGAAACACAATGTGCCCCTTGCATCATGGGGCACGTGTGTAGCAGAGGCGGTTGCCCCTTCTGTGGTTCTGGCACAGTTTTTAAATGTCACAACTACTGACCTAATTCAATAACCTTGAATTTCAGAAAAGCAATGTTTTGGTTTCTTTGCTTCGATTTCTTGACACAGTAAACTCTCAATCTCTCTTTCTCACTCTGTATTCATTTATTCTTCCATCTACCCATCTATCCAATTTTAAACATTTTTTTTTTAAGAGCAGACAAGTTTGTTTTTTTTTTTTAAATATTTTTATTGCCCTAACCGGTTTGGCTCAGTGGATAGAGTGTCGGCCTGTGACTGAAGGGGCCCAGGTTCGATTCCGGTCAAGGGCATGTACCTGGGTTGGGGGCACATCCCCAGTAGGGGGTGTGCAGGAGTCAGCTGATCGATGTTTCTCTCTCATAGATGTTTCTAACTCTCTCTCCTTCTCCCTTCCTCTCTGTAAAAAAATCAATAAAAAATATTTTTAAGAAATGTATTTTTTATTGTTTTCAGAGAGGAAGGGAGAGGGAGAGAGAGATAGAAACATCAATGATGAGAGAGAATCATTGATTGGCTGCCTCCTGCACGCCCCCTACTGGACCGCAACCCAAGCATGTGCCCTTGACTGGAATTGAACCTGGGACCTTTCATTCCTCAGGCCAATGCTCTGTCCACTGAGCCAAACCAGCTAGGGCCAATTTTAAACATTTTAATAGGAAATACATATACAGGACACAAAATAGAAAAGGTACAAAAGGGTCTATGGGGAAATGTAACTCTCTCTTACCTTGTTCTTCAGAAAATGTTACCTAAAAAAATGATTCCATTTTTAAGACCCATTTTTGATTTCTCCCATACTCCAGATCCCACCATACAAAGCCAGGGTTATGCTGGCAAAATCACACAGACTGTAACCCAACCCAGGTTTGACTGCCTGTTGTAAAGAAAGCCAAACTTGTGAGACAGGTACTGGTGTAAAGGAAAGAGGTGTATTCGAGTGTCAGCATCTCAAGAAGATGTGGGACTCCTATCCTCAAAAACCCATCTTAATATCTCAGTGCAGGCAGAGATTTTTTTAAGGATGGAGAGGGAAAGCAGAACAAAGAGATAAGGGGAGGGGTTATGGACTTGTCTCTCTCCCAGGAGTAAAGGGGAGGGGAGTGAAGGGGAGTATGAATATGCAGTTTCTCAAAATTCTTCCCCTCCTTTTAGTGCTATTTCTCTTCCTACAGGAGTTTGTAGATTTAGGACACATGTTTAGTTACCCCCTGCCCAACAGGCTGCTCTAAGGGGGTGGGGGGAGGGCTAGATAAGAAATGAAAACATAGGACTTTATTTACATACACTAAGAAAACAGTTGGCTATAGCTTTGAGAGAATGCAGAATATGTAACCTTTATTGCTCAACTTAAATGTTAAATTATGAGTACAAAATCACTGGGCAAAAGACCCCCACCAGCATATTCAACACAATTCTGTATCAGGTTTCCAGAGAGTTTCAGCGGTCTTGGAACGTGTATATTTCTAAAAATATAAAAGTTATACCAGAAATCAATGGGCAATACCAAACCCTGTTGATTTATGACCACTGATTTCTTTAAAATTGTAAATTAAAAATATAACTAACACACCTTCGCTTTAAAAAAAATCAATACAGTACAATAGGATATGTAATAAAAGTCAGTTCATCCTTATTTCAGACCCCAGTTCTACTCACCCAGAAAGCCACCATCGCAGTTTCTTGTTTCCTTCCAGAAACCTTCTCTATAGTGTACATGTACACATTCACATTATCCTTAAAGAAAAAAAGGAAATATATTTAGAAAGTTCTTGTTATTTGAGGATAACTGGACTTGGGAAAGTTCACATAAAGTGAATCCACTTAAAGTTAGCACACATGTTTCATAGTAAATATTGATTGAATTCCTGCTTCGTGCCATGTGTTTTCTTAAAGAGAAGATGTATAATCCAGAATTCTAATATTTTTATTGCCAGACTTCTAATGCCAACTCTGCATTGGTCAAGCTTAATGGAAGGTCACAATAGTAGTTACAATAGTTACAATAGTAGTATGCTTAATCTCTGGCATGACTTGAGACACACAGCCTCATTGTTTTTTGGTGGTAAAATACTCATAAAACTCATTATTTTAACCATTTTATTTTATTATTTTTTTATTTTCTTAAATTTTTATTTATTGATTTGAGAGAGACAGAGAGATTGATTTGTTGTTTCACTCATTTATGCATTCATTGGTTGATTCCTGTATGTGCCCTGATGGAGATTGAACCCACAACCTTGGCGTATGGGGACAATGCTCTAACCAACTGAACTACCCTGTCAGGGCCCATTTTAACCATTTTAAAGTGTAAGATTCAGTGGCATTAAGTATATTCACAATGTTGTTCATCCATTATCACTATCTAGTTCCAGAACTTTTTCATCACCCCAAAAGGAAACCCCGTAGCAATCACTTCCTATCCTCCTCTCCCCCAGCTCCTGGTAATCACCACTCTGCTTTCTTTCTATATGGATTTGTCTATTCTGGATATTTCATGTAAGTGGAATCATATATACATATGTGGCTTTTGTATCTGGCTTCTTTATTTAGCATAATGTTTCCAGGATTTATCCACATTGTAGTACTTCATTTCTTTTTCATGGTCAAATAATATGCCATTATATGGATATACCACCTTTTATTTATCTATTCATTGGTTGATGGACATTTGGGTTGTTTCCACCTTTGGCTTTTGTGAATGAATATTCATGTGTAAGTTTTTCTTTTAACATCTGTTTTCAGTTCTTTTGGGTATATACCTGTCAATGGAATTGCTGGGTTCATGTGGTAATTCTAGGTTTAACTTTTTGAGGAAACATCTAATTCTTTGAATCTCTCTGATGTTTGTCCCTTTGTTCTGTACCCTAATATAGATGTCTCCTTATATCATTAGTCTTCCAAATCAGGGAAGATTAATTAATTAATATCTGGATTAATTGATTAATATCTGGTTATTAGTCAAGTTTAACATTCTGAAATTAGCATTATAATAGTAGGTCAGGTGTCACCACATATTAAACTTTAAATACAGAAAGCTATATAATAATTGATTTTATATTATATGTCTGCTCTTAATTAATGTAGTCAATGCACTGGGCTGTCAGAGGTAAAAAAGATCGAATGCTGGAAGAACCTGACCAGACTCCTACCAACAAGATTGAAAATGAGGAACAGAACAAACAAAGAGAAATAAAGAAAGAAGAGCTGGGTTCAACCACTGAGAAGATGGAGCAAAAAGAATCTGAGTCCTTGGAGAAGTCATCCTCCCCACAGAGTCCAGATTCTTCAAGTAAGTCATGTCATATAGCTTTGCAGACAAAGAAGGTCTGAAGCTCGCCAAATTTAAGGGTTGGCCTGTCCTTAAACACTTATTTAGCATTGACATGGAAACTAGATGATACATTCTTTAATACAATCCTGGTAAAGGGAACTTTGAGATATTTCTGGGAGTGTCTTCCTCTCCACTGAACTAATGTTAGCTAACATTGGGGAGTTTACTATGTGCAGGAATGTTTTCACAGGAATTAGTTTACATCTATTATCTCCTTTAATATTAATGTTACACATATTTATTTAATCCTCCCTACAAGTTTGTGAGGTTGGTATCAACATTATTCTTATTTTACAGATGAGGAAACTGAAGCCCAGAGAGGTTGAGTAATTTTCTCAAGGTTATGGAGATTGTGTGGCAGGGCAGGGGTCTGAACTAAGGCAGTTTGGCTTCAGTCTGTTTCTAAGGCACTGCACTATCTTGAGAAGATGCCTTATCTGAAAGTAGCTCTGTAGACATTCTGAATCATTTATAGACCCACGGAAGCAGGGTGTTAGGAGGTTGAAATCCTGGCTCCCAAACTACACATCCTGACTCTACTACTTATTGTCTGTATTACTTGGTAAAAGTTACTTAACTTCTCTAGACCTCAGTTTCCTCATCTACAAAATAGAAATCATAATGGTACCTTCTCAAAGACTTATCATAAGGATTACATGAGGAGATCCATGCAAAATGCTTTGCACAGTGATTTGTCTATAGCAGGCCCTGGGTAAATGTGAGCTATTATTATCATTTCTTTGTTTGTCTGTGTAGCCATTCCACTGTGTGTCTTGTGTCGATAGGTGTGTTATGTACACACACTGTAACTGTCCTTCAAAATCTTACTTGATTTCAGGGTTGTGATTCAACACTCCATTAGATTTTAGCCTTTAAACAGAAAGTTCCTGAACATCCTTGAACACCTATTTAATAAAAGAAGACAAGTAGATAGTTTGTGGTGAATTATAATCTTTCTAGAAATGGTCACTTCAAATCTCTCTTTGGGGAGAACTTATAAGTGCTCACTGCTTTCTGGGAATAAAGATTCTTAGAGTTGGATTCAGGTGTTAACCAAAAGATCATTTTGTAGTCTGTACATTGACTGCATCAGCCTTGTAACTGGAAATGTGTTATAGCAAGCTGATCAAAGCTGAAGCCCGAATGTCAGGAAACCGGTTTTAACATCTGTTTGCAAACATGCAAACACCCACTCTCTCTCTCTCTCTCTCTCACACACACACACACAAAGGCAAACATGCAAATGTTTCTCCATTCAGCCTTGGAAAGTTCAGATCTGTCCCTCTAAATCCTGGAGGGTGCCTGTGACTTTCTATTTTGGGTTTAGACTTCACCAGAACTTGGGGTGTTGGACACTTCAGAGACTCAGGCATGATGCTGAGGCCCCACTTGACTGCCTGTCATAAGAATCTGAAAATTTCTTTCTTTAGAAAAGTTATATGGCCCAGCCAGTGTGGCCCAGTGGTTGAGCGTTGACAAGAAGTTACTGGTTGGATTCCTTGTCAGGGCACACACTCAAATTGTGGGCTCGATCCTCAGTAGGGGGTGTGCAGGATGCAGCTGATCTATGTTTCTCTCTCATCGATATTTCTATCTCTCTATACCACTCCCTTTCTCTCTCTCTAAAATAAGTAACAACATATTTTTAAAAAGTTATAAACATGTGATAAACCCCCCAAATAATGAGCTTGTCATTTAAAAAAATCAAAGAATTATATAAACAATAACTTAGTGTCTACCCCAGTCTCCTATCTTTCTCTGCTTCTGTTTCCTAAAGTAACCAATGCAGATGCCCAGGTGTGTCTCCTTCCATACTGTTCCATATGCTGATACAAGCATATATGAAGAACAGTATATGTTCACTCATGAGGGCTTTAAAAATATAGAACAGCCATACACTGAGCACATTTCTCTATGTTACACAGAAGCTAAGAGCACTGTGGCCTTAACCAGATCCCAGCTTTTCCAACCATGAGTTGTGTGGCCTTGGGCAAGTGAATGTGGATGAAAAAAGGCTTTCTATGGAAAGTCACCGCACAGGGTGATCTGATCATAAATTCCTAACCGGGCAGTTGGATTCAGGTGTTCAACAAAATCCTGCCTCAGGCATGTAACTGATTTAGTAAAAGGCTTATCTTGGCCTTAATCAAGTTCTGTCCATGGCTTCCGTGCTTCTAGGTTAACACACCTTTGAAATGCCTCTTTTCAGAGCTCTCCTAAACTGTGACCACCCTCAAGAGAACACATATTCTTAACCTGTAATCAGATCGCAATCCTCCTTACATTCCCTCCTTAATCTCAAAATACACACAGAAACTACAAACTGTTATTCTGGGAAACATTTTTCTGTCTGTTGAGCTCTCACTTCCAGGTATATCCTCTGTTTAACTCAAACAATAAATTTTTATAAAAATTCTCTACAGTTTGGACATTCTTATGTTAACAAGAGTTAATCTCTTTGATTTTTTAAAAAATCTGTATACTAGTGGCCTGGTGCATGAATTCATGCACATTGAAAGAAAATTCATTAGAAGAAATATTTTAAAATCACTATTCGCCCTTTCTCTATAATAGAAGTGTCAACCAAATTCATGATTGACAATGACAGATGGAAACACACGTGTGCAATTGGCACCAGTGAGAGCTTTATATGAATCGCGCATGCGAGAGTCAACTTAGCCTTTTATAGATATAGAATAAACTTGCTTAATTAGACCTGTTTTCTGATTTAGCTAAACTTTTTCAGCCCAGTGAAGCACCCCAACTTCTCTTTCAGGTAATTATCAGCAACACAGCAGTAAATATCAACACGAAGCAGATTATTATTATAGATCATGCAGGGAGAATAAAGGGTGAAATATTTAACCGCAGCCGTGTTTGACTATATTCTGTGCAGTGAGAAAACCTGAAGTCATTTTCAAAGTCCACCATTTCTTACTTCTTTTCAGTTGGGTCAAGTTTCTAAGCTTTCTAAATCTTCGTTTTCTGGCTAATGAAAAGAAAATAGGATTCCATGGAGTCTCCTATCTACCTACTCCAGGACTTCTGTGAGGATCAAATGAGATGAGGCACAGGAAAACACTTCACAGATATTTGGTTACAGTGTAAAATGTTTGCACCTGGCTATAAAGCAAGTCATGTTTCTGGGCTGAAGAAACTCCAAGGAGGCTAGTCGCTATGGAGAGGAAGCCGGGCATTGCTATGTGATGTCATTACCCGGATGGACACTTAGCATATTAGCCTTTTACACACACACACACACACACACACACACACACACACACACATAATGGTTACAATAGTAGTTTCTACTTCGAAAGGTTATGTTTTTGGTATGAATTATTACTATCTTACAGTAATTAAGTTAAGCAGACTTTTTGAGGAGTAAATAACTTAATATACATAAAATGTTTCCATCAGGTATGTAAATTGTTTTTTAGTGTCAGATTTTATTATTATGGGACTTCTCCTTAAAACTTTACTTTTAGAATTAACCCTTTGCGGTCGTTTGTCTACTCTCAGCCACCAAAGCTTTTTTACCGTTCCGGTTGTATGTCTGCTCTCAGCCACCACAGCAAGGAACCGTACGAATCTTAACTCTATTCATTCATGTATCAGTTCATAATTTCTCTGAAAGCTCTTAAGTGTCTAAGCGACCTTGTCACGAACCAAAACATTGCCCC